TTTACTGAAGGATAATTGGCATGCAATGAAAGGGACATGTTAAACTGTGCAGTTTGCTAGGTTTTGACTTATGTTTATGTCTGTGAGACCATCACCACAAGATATTAAGCAAGATAGCAAGCATGTCTACATGTCCATCACTCTTCCTTTCACCCCCTATCTTCAGGCAACCTGATTCTGTCACTGTAGATTAGTTTGCATTTTTTAGAATTTTGTATAAATAGAATCATGAAGCATGCACTCTTTTTGTCTTTATTTAAAATTCAGTATAATTATCTAGATATTCATTCATTTTATTGCATGTATCTACATTCATTCCTTTCTATTGCTGAGTAGTATTCCATTATATGGATATACCATAATTTTCTTATTCATTCACCTGTTAATGGACATTTGGGTTATTTCCAGCATTTGAATGTTGCAAATAAAGCTATTATGAACATTCTGGTGTAAGTCTTTTTGTGGACATATGTCTCTGTTTTTCTTGGATAAAAACCTATGAGTGAAATGGCTGGGTCATATTGTAAGTGTAGGTTTCACTTTTAAGGAACTGCCAAACTGTGTTCCAGTTTGGAACTCAAATTACCCCACCAACCCTTGGCATGCACAGCCTTTTTGATTTTAGTCATTTGAGTGGGTATATAGCAGCATCTTATTTTGATTTTAATTTGCATTTCCCTGATAATATATGATGTTGAGCATCTTTTCATGTGTATCCTCTTTGGTGAAGTGCCTGTTTAAATCTTTTGCCTGTTTTCTTAGTGGGTGGTTCGTGTTATTATAGCAATGTTAGAGTTCCTCATGTTAAAAGATAAAATGAAGCATATTAAATTTTTGACAGTTTATTTGAGCAAAAATCTGTTAAAATATGACAGTGCCAAACCCAAAGTGGTTAAGAGTGCTCTGCCCACATTAGTTAGAGGAAGGACTTTTACAGAGAAGTGAGTGAAGGTGCTCAGTCGTGTCCGACTCTTTCTGACCCCATGGACTGTAGCCTACCAGGCTCCCCTGTCCATGGGATTTTCCAGGTAATAGTACTGGAGTGGATTGCCGTTACAGAGAAGAGGTGGAAGGAAAGGAAGGAAATAAGTTGATTGGCTCTAGCTTGAGTGGTTGTATTATTTGGGAAAATCTGATTGGCTGTTTGTGAGTGAGTCCTTTGGTTTGCTTCTTAACCTTGAGGCATTAGAGGTTTTGGTTTTGCTTCGATAAGGAACCTCCTGAAGAACTAAAGTCACCTTAGCCTAATGGTCTCTTTGTTTAATTAATTTAACACATTCATTCTAGGTATAGGTCCTTGTTGTATGTTTTGTGAATATTTTTTTCTTGTCTATGGATTTATTTTTCGTGTCTAAGAAAAGTTAAAACTTTATTCACATCTTTTGAAGAGAAAATGTTCTTTTAAATGAGACAAAATCCAATTTATTCAGTTTTAAAAAACAGCTTCTGCTTCTCATGTAGTATTTAAGAAATTGCCAAGCCCAGTGTCACTAAGATTTTTTCTTATCTCCTAGAAGTTGTGTAGTTTTAGCTTTTATATGATTTATGATCCATTTCAAGTTAATGTCTGTATATGGTGTTAGACTAGGTCAGGGTTCATTTTTTTTGTGCATGGGTATGGCTATCTAGTTGCCTCAATACAATTCATTGGAAATATTATCTTTTTCATATTTAATTGTCTTGGCATCTTTGTTGAAAATCAGTTAACCTAAATGTGCGGACTTATTTCTGAATTCTCCATTAGGCATCTATCTGAATGCCAATACTTTATTGTCTTTGTTACTGTAGCTTTATGGTAATATCTTGATAGAAAGCATATGTCTTTCCACTTTGGTTTTTTTTTTCAAAGTTGCTTTGGCTGTTTTAGGTCCTTTGCATTTCCATATAAATTTTGGAATCACCTGATAAATTTGTACAAACAAACTTGCCAGAAGTTCAGCTGTGATTGTGTTAATTAAATCTATCGAGCAATGTATGTGTGTGGATCAATTTTTTATGTTAATGTGATGAATCACTGCACGGGGTCTTCGCTGCTGCGTGCGTGGGCTTTCTCTAGTTGTGGAGAGCAGGGGCTACTCTGTTGTAGCGTGCAGGCTTCTTACTGCAGCGGCTTCTCTTGTGGAGCACAGGCTGTAGGCACTCCGGCTCAGCAGTGCGGGCTTAGTTACTCCGTGGTATGTGGGATCCTCCTGGACCAGGGATCAAATCTATGTTGCCTGCACTGACAGGCAGACTCTATCCACTGTGCTACCAGAGAAGTCCGTTGTTAACATATTAAGGATTTTTGCATCTATGTTCATAGGACTCTTTTAGTTTTCTTCTCTTGTATTGTCATAGAATGAGTTAGAAATTTTTCTTCTATTTTCTGAAAACGTTTCTGTTATGCTGGTATTATTTCTTCCTTAAATATTTGATTGACTACACCAGTGAAACCATCCTTCTCTGTGAAACTTTTTGATTACTGCTTTAATTTCTTTAATAGATGGAAGGCTATTCAGATTTTCCATTTCTTGCTGATTTTCTTTAATTTTGGTAAATTGTGTTTTTTCAAGGAATTTATTCAATCAAGAAAGAAGTGTTAAAGTCTCCAATTATTAATATTAAATCACGGATTTGTCTGTTTCTTTGTCTTATCAGTTATCAAGAAAGAAGTGTTAAAATCTCCAATTATTAATATTAGATCATGGATTTGTCTGTTTCTTTAGTTCTGTTAATTTTTGTTTTACATATTTTGAAGATATGTTATTAATTACACACTTTTATTATTGTCATGTCCTTCTGAGTGACCCTTTTATCATTATGATATGCCTTTTAATTTTATTTACTTATCTATTTTTGGCTGTGCTGGGTCTTCATTGCTGTGCAGGCTTTTCTTTAGCTGTAGAGAGCAGGGGCTATTCTCTGTAGGTGGTGCATGGGCTTCTCACTGCAGTGTCTTCTTGTTGCGGAACATGGGCTCTAGGGCACAGGATCAGTAGTTGTGGCGCACGGACTCAATTGCTCTGCGGCGTGTGGGATCCTCCAGGACCAAGGATCAGACCTTCCTGTGTCTCCTGCATTGGCAGGTAGATTCTTTACCCCTGAGTCACTAGGGAAGCCCTGAAATATCCTTCATCTCTGGTAACACTCCTTGTTTTGAAATCTACTTTGTCTGATCCGAATTTAACCACAAAAGCTTTCTTTTGCTGTTAGGTAAACGGTTTTCAATCCTTTTACTTTTCACCTGTCTGTGTCTTTAAAAATATATCTTCTATAGATTATATGTAGTTGGCTCTTTTATGTTTAGTCTGACCATGATGATCTGTGCTTTTTAGTTTATTGTGTTTAGTTCATTTGCATAGTGTTTAATTCATTAACTTTTAACATTAATAGATCACAGTAGCTTTCACATGTGTCTGACTCTTTGTGACCCCGTGGACTGTGGCCAGGTAGGCTCCTCTGTCCATGGGATTATCCAGGCAAGACTACTAGAAGGGGTTGCTATTCTCTCCTCCAGGAGATCTTCCCGACCCACGGATCCAACCTGGGTTTCCTACATTGCAGTTGGATTCTTTTACTATCTGAGTCATCAAGGAAAACCTCACAAGCTTACAATTCATCTCAAATCTTGTTTTGCCCACGCCTGACAAATCAGACTAGTATGCTGTGCATCAGAGAGAAGGAAGAAGGCTCTAATTTGGAGTCATCCATGCTGCTGCCCAGCTTCCTTGCTTCCATAATGTCTGAATGGCAAGAAGGGTCAATGCCTAATAACTCCCTCCCCGCCTTCACCAGGAGCCCGGGGGGAGGACCTTGGGCACGGGACTGGGGTAGTTGAAAGATACAGTATTAACAGTCAGTGAGGTAAACTCGCTAAAATTGGCCATATCTCAGGAAATGTAAATATTCCATTTAAAAAACAGACTTACTATGACAAAAATTCTGCTGAGAGACTGACACTGGCTGTCAGATGCTTACATGTTATTATAAAAAATAATCCAAACAAGAAAATAAAACTTCCTGAGCAGGACCCTAGCTCCTACCACAGGACCTCCTAGCCCTAAAGAAAGTTCTGCCATGAGAGAGTAGTAGTGAAGAAGCCATGGCCACAGGAGTTTCCTTCTGCACAGCTGGGAGCTGTGGGGAGCAGGCATGTACCACAGGTGGTGGACTTGGCAGAGAGAGCAGCATATGGGTTCAACAGCAGCAATAGATGTCACCATCTGGCACAAAAGCCCCTCAAATAATCCCATTACCTCTCTGTCCTACCCCTTACCCAGGTTGAGAGCAGATGGCCTTTGAGATGTGTTTGAGTTTTTTGTTTTTGGTTTTTTTATGACATAGTCCTGGTTTTAAGCAAACGTAGATAGAAGGCGATACGTTGTTGCTAGGGGTGCCTGCCAACACAGGCAGAGTTTAAGTCTAAGTTCCTTAGAGTTTAAGGAAATGGGGAGATGCTTCTGAGGATGGATTCCCTCTGACATGACTGCTTGGACTGGAACCAGGGTGTTTCCTGGGGGTGCTAATTAGAACAGGAAATGTGTAATCCCCAGTAGTCAGACAGACCAGTGTACCAGCTGTCGGTGTGCAAGTGAAATTGATTCCTGGATGAGAGGTGTCTGCAGAAAGATTTCCTGGAGGCGCTTCTTGCCAGGCTGGAGATGACTTTCAAATGAGACTCCTGGATGCAGACAGCTTGTTAGTTTGTTTAGTGGCTTGTTGTTCAGTCACTCAGTCGGGTCCTACTCTTTGCAACTCCACGGACTGCAGCATTCCAGGCTTCCCTGCCCTTCACTATCTCCTGGAGTTTGCTCAAACTAATGTCCATTGAGCTGGTGATGCGATCCAATCATCTCATCCTCTGTCTCCCCCCTTCTCCTCTGGCCTGCAGTCTTTCCCAGCTTTGCACTCATTTTGTGCAGGATTTGACCATCAGTACCAGGCTATGGCCTCTTGGAACACAGGGAGTAAAGTCAAAAACGTTGTGAATACCTTGCTGGGCTTCAACATCTAGAACCTCAATGGTTGTCGACTTTCAGTCTTGCTTGCGATGGAATTCTGGGGACAGTGCAAGTATTTCAGTATTTGCTGTTGCTGTTGGCGTTTGTTCTTTGGTGTGTGTGGTCAGGTTGCTCCTTGGCATGTCCTGTGGAGCTCTGACACATCCTTCATCAGCTGTGACACCGTGCCTAGATTCCAACAACACGATGACTTTTTGTCAGATTTTAAAAGCATGACTATTTGGGCTGAAACAACTCACTCTTTATAATATCTGCATGCTAAGTGGCTTCAGTTGTACCTGACTCTGTGTGACGCTACGGACTGTAGCCTACCAGACTCCTCTGTCCATGAGATTCTCCAGGCAAGAATACTGGAGTGAATTGCCATGCCCTCCTCCAGAGAATCTTCCTGACCCAGGGATTAAACCCATGTCTCCTGCATTGGCAGGCAAGCTCTTTGCCACTAAAGTGCCATCTAAAGTAAAATCTGGAAACAGAGTCCCCGTTGAAACTCCTTATATAAACAAATGTGCCTTTGCTGCAGGAGTTGGTTGCCATTATTATTCACCTTGAGAAGGTTCCTTGTTTACCTGAAGGTGACCTTCAGGGTTAAACAACTATGCTTCTCCCCTTGGATGAGAATGGTGCTGGCCACACATGCCTTACTGCCTTTTTCTGACCATGTTGGACCCAGTGATGTATGCTGCATGGATAGGGTATTCTTGGAATTGAATGAAACTCTGCACACCTCTCAGATTCTCTCTTTACACAGTGGGTGGCCAGGGTGGCCTCTGTTAGTGCCATCTGTTCTAGAGACTGGAGAGAATCCTCATTCTGCTGGTGGTCAATCAGAATTCCATCCCCTCTCTTACCCCTTTCAGATCCATGAGAAAGAAGAGGAAGAGTTCAATGAGAAGAGTGAACATGATTCTGGAATCAATGAGGAGCCTCTACTCACAGCAGACCAGGTATGAATATGTCTTGGTTCTTGGGACTTTCAGTTCTTTTGATAGAGAAAAAGTTTGAGTACGCACTTGCCACATCCCTTTAAGGTGACAGAGAAATGTATGGTCTTGTGGTGGCTGTGTCGTGACTGAGAGTGTGTTTGATAAGGGATTGCATGTCTCTTTAAGACTCAGTTTACCCACCTGCAGTAAATGGGAATGTAACCCCTGACATGTGTGTCGGGTAGGGTCCGTGTTTGGTAACAGCCAGGGAGGGGCCCAGTGTTTACTGCCTTCATTTCCTGCTAAGCCTTTTTATTGCAACTGATTGTACTTGGTGTCAAGACACTTAAACAAGGGTCCCAAATCCTTGTTCTCACGAGAATTAGAAATGACAGATGAGGCTTTAAAGTGATGGCTATTTTCTCATATTTCATAAAACATTGAAAATGTTGAACCTTCCCCAAAAGAGTCTTAGATACACTCATTTGGTTAAAAAAAAAAGTATAGTGCTTCACATTTTATTGACTTACTTACATTTTGGTTTTAATAATTTGTTACTTAGGGACAATACCCCTGGATCTCTAGATTCCTCATTCAACCTTTCAGTCAACAACTATTTATGGGCACTTGCTTTGAGCAGGCACCTTTCAAGCATTTCCACAGAGCGATTCTGAAAAAGCTCTACTGGGAGCCTTTGGTGCCAGAAAGTGCTTTTCAGTAAAAGGAAAATCTTTCATATCTGTGGTAAAGGGTAGGATATAAACAGATAAGGATCAAGAGATTAAAGGGAACTGGATTGAAAAGAAGAGGTGCTAGCATTTATTCTTGTGAATTTTGGGAGGAAATACAGTTCAGTGATCCAAGTTCAATGATAACGACTTCGAGGGAAAGAGGAACTCAGCCATAAAATTCCAAAGAAGGGTCATGTCATTTGCTTTTATCCCATGAATGGCTTAAGTATCCCTTAAATTTGTGAGTGGAGATGGGAAAGCTTTGGAATAAAATGGAAATTATTCCAAAGGAGGAACCTCTTAAGTGCCTTTATCTTTGGTCCAGCCTAACATAAAGGAACCCACTTCAGTAACCAGTGGCCTCGGAGCATCACAGCATTGAGAACAGACAAATATACAGATGCTCTGTTCTGACCAGACTCATCAATGGCTCCTTCCAAAGAAGTAGTCCTTGCTCATTTCCTTTTCTTCATGTGTGAACAATTAGTGTCCAAAGTCTTGTGCATTGTTCAATAGTTCACCTTTTTCCCTTTTGGCAGTTATCTAATTTGACTCTCATCTTCTAGACCCAGTCCCCTACAACAGTCTAGATTGTAGCTGAGTTTCTTATCTATTTTCTGCGTCCAGACCCTACTTACTCTATCATTATTTAATGGTCTTTATTTACACTTGTTGGCCAGCTTTAGGTCTTGTCCTGGTGAATTTTGGAGGCAGAGCTCTTTTCCTCTATGTGAAAAACTGTACATGAGTTTGAGCTGTCCTAGGAACACTGCCATTTCCGGTCATAGGCATCATCACAATGAATGGACTGGATTTTGTGTTTGAGTTGGGTGGATGAAATATTCTCCCACTCAGGAAGAAAGTGCTCAGCAAATTGAAGTAAATGTTCCCTTCCAGGCAGCTCTGCTTTGTTTCCTGAAAGAGCAGTTTATTTCCAATAAAGCACTCATCTAAATGGTGTTCTTGGAAGAGGTTTGACGTTAAAGAGGGCTTTGCATTAAAGGGAGAGTGTTTGCAAGCCTTTGGTCAGATCTATTTTTGTTATTATTCAATATTTATTAAGTAACAATTTTGCTGTAGGAATTTTACAAAGACAGCAAATTAGGCACATCCTTCATTGATCATCCTTCACGCTGAGATATCCCTGCAGCAGAGAAGAGCGAGTGCTCACTTGTGTACCCTCTTCAGGTGATTGAAGAGATTGAGGAAATGATGCAGAATTCCCCCGACCCTGAAGAGGAAGAGGAGGTCCTGGAAGAGGAGGATGGGGGAGAAACCTCCTCCCAGGCGGACTCGGTCCTCCTGCAGGAGATGCAGGCCTTGACCCAGACCTTCAACAACAACTGGTCCTACGAAGGTGAGGGTCCTCGGGGTGGACTCATGAAGGATGAACTCAGCTCTGCTGGGCAGGGCGTGTGCTTCACATGCCACTAATGGAGCCTCGGATCTAGGGAGTTGACATCACTGTTCTTATTGTGTATCAGTAGAGAAGTTCACGTCACAGAGGGTGGGGAGGAGGCCATTGAGCAAAATTAAAATGGTAAAATGAACCAAAGAACAAGATTAAGTAGAGGAAATCTGAACTCACTATTCCCAATGATGCTTCCCTGCTGGGGGCTTCCCTGGCAGTCCAGTGGTAAAGACTCTGCACTTCCAATACAGGGGGTGCAGGTTCAATTCCTGGTTGGGGTGCTAAGATCCCACATGCTGCACAGTGCACCACCCCCCCAAAAACCCCACATGATGCTACCATAAAGTCAATGAAAAATATCTACAAACAGTAATGATAATAATAGCTCGTTTATTTAGAGAGCTTTGGAGTGCCAAATCCTGTTCTAAAACTTTGTATGCATAATCTCATTTCATGCCTGTAGCTACCCCATTAGGACTGAGCTAACTGAGTTTCTGAACCAGTAAGTGACTTGTTTGAGGCCATTGTCGGGGAAATATGATTTAAAAATAATATCTCCTCCCCACCCGGGAAACCTTTTCACAGTAGAGGAGAAAGGAAACGATTTTATTATCAAATAAGCATTAAGCCAGAATATGGTGCATATCACAGTTCATTCAGTTCAGTTCAGTCACTCAGTCATGTCTGACTCTTTGCAACCCCTTGAACTACAGCCTGCCAGGTTTCCCTGTCCATCACCAACTCCTGGAGTTTACCTAAACTCATGTCCAGTGAGTTGGTGATGCCATCCAACCATCTCATCCTCTATTGTCCCCTTCTCCTCCTGCCCTCAATCTTTCCCAGCATCAGGGTCTTTTCTAGTGAGTCAGTTTTTCGCATCAGGTGGCCAAAGTATTGGAGCTTCAGCTTCAGCATCGTCCTTCCAATGAATATTCAGAACTAATTTCCTCTAGGATTGACTGATTTGATCTCCTTATCACAGTCATCCACAGAAAGAGCTTGCAAAACCTTTACCTGTAGGCAATTGGGCACAACCCATTACATTGAGGAAATTTCGCAATTTGGAGTCAGGTGATGAGTAAGGCCCCTGTTTTGTTTTTTTGGTGATGATTTTTCAAAGCAGTGGCTCCCAGATCCTTGAGGAAACATTCCTGAGTCCTGAGACTGGCAGGAGGTGTATTTAGCCATGAAAATGAATGACACATTTGAAAAGGAGAGAGAAAGAGATTCTGGAAGAAAAGGGAGGGAAGGGAGAGGAGAAGTCTTTTCCCTTATTTTCGACAGGGAGAATCAAGCCTCTTTTTTTTTTTTTTTCCCATCATGTGGCATGTGGGATCTTAGTTCCCCAACCAGGGATTGAATCACACCCCCAACAATGGAAACATGGAGTTTTAACTGCTGAACCACCAAGGAAGCCCCAAGCCTTGTATTTTTAATGCATACTTGCCCCTACACCACCTTCAGGTCATAAGGGGTGGAGCCAAAATTTGAAGGCAGGCAGGTTAGCCGCAGAGTCCACACTCTTAATCTGCATATCATATTAACTCTTGACACAGATTTGTAGTAATTATGATCCTGCAAACAAAGAGGGGGACGAAGTGTGAAATTAAAAGATGTAACACCAGTGGCAAAAATGGATATACATTTATCAATCTGTAGGGATAGAGGTAACCATGCTGCCGGAAGGGCCACGTTACCTGGGAGTGGATCTGCATGGGAGTAGCGGGACTTAACAAATGAGAGGGAAGGTGGGATGGTCAGGGTATAAAAGTCCAAACTCTGATTAGAATAATGGTGAAAACAGAGGCGTGACCTGAGGGACCGAGTCCTATAAGGGAGACTATGGCTCCAGAGAGTGGAGGCAGGGCGGTGTTAGCAGAAAGAATCTGTTGGGAGCCATGGATTTGGCCCCAGCGCTGCATTCACAGCTGTTCCAATCAGGCCATTCTCTGCCACACAAAGGTCCCATACACAGAACTGCTCAGTGAAAGACTGGGGAAAATAGCTGAAATGCAGAGTGAAATGGCAAAAACAGAAGGAGGAGGACAACTCCAAAGAGTGAATTAAAGGAGAAGGTTGAAGTAAGTCAGCAAATACCCCGGGCAGAGCAGGGAATGGAAAGAGAGAGGAGAATGGATTCTGATGTAAAAGAAACAAAAGATGCCATTAGGAAGGAGGGCATTCGAAAAGATGCTCCCAAATCTACTTTAAAGGAAGAAGTCGGAGGGGATAAAATTTAAAATAAAGGGATCTGTGTCCTGTTATCCCAGGTTCCATTTTCTTTTCTCTGACAGTAGCAGAAGACTCTGTACCAACAGGCCAGGCTTCGTTTTTCCATGCGTGTTGCCTGTCTTTACACGTCTCACATATTTTTGTCACATACACTGTGACACAGGACAGTTGGTATAGAGAGGCCTCAGATCATTCTGCCTGTTTTTGCTATCGGTTCTGTCTTGATCAGGTCTTGGGAATAGACACCACCTCTCTATTGGTCTTCGACCCAGATGTCAAAATCTTCTTCATGTCCCCCTCTCTCCCATTTCTTGACCCATTTCACATGAGAAATATTATATGTGCTCAGTCACTCAGTCGTGTCCAACTTTCTACGGCCCCATAGACAGTGGCCCAGCAGACTCCTCTGTCCGTGGAATTTTCCAGGCAAGAATACCAGAGTGGGTTGCCATTTCCTACTCCAGGGAATCTTCCTCACCCAAGGGTCAAACCAGCCTCTCTTGTGTCTCCTGCATTGGCAGGTGGATTCTTTACCGCTGGCACCATCTAGGAAGCCTGAGGAATATTATAGAGACAGAGGAAGACTAGGGAGACCGATCAAGTAATCAAACACCACGTCTGTCCACCTGCATTTTTGTAGACAGAGTCCACAGGTCTCCCCAGGGATTGGTTTTTTTCTCCCCATTGTTTCCCCGAGATGATGTTTTCTTTCACAGCCCATAACTGGCCCTCCCTTCTGGCATGCATCTGAATCATGCAGGTCCTTCTGGGCCCTGGGAGCCTCTCCCGTGGGCTGGAGGCAGTGACCCTGCAGGACCGTCTTCCTCTGCAGGCCTGAGGCACATGTCTGGGTCTGAGCTGATGGAGCTCCTGGACCAAGTAGAGGGTGCCATCCGAGACTTCTCGGAGGAGCTGGTGCAGCAGCTGGCCCGCCGGGACGAGCTGGAGTTCGAGAAGGAAGTGAAGAACTCCTTCATCACGGTGCTCATTGAGGTGCAGAACAAGCAGAAGGAGCAGCGGGAACTGATGAAGAAGAGGCGGAAAGAGAAAGGGCTGAGCCTGCAGAACAGCCGGATGGACAAGGGAAGCCAGATGCCTCTCAAGGTAAGAGGACCCCCGGCGCCAGGACCAGGGTGCCCGGCTGTGGCCCAGACGGACCTGCCCTGAGCCACGGCTGCGCAGGACCCCCTGGCAGGCAGCGGGGCCACGATAGGGAGAAGAGCCCACCCATCTCCTCTGTGCCCCCAGAGGACACCCGGTCTAATTGAAGGGGACAGGATGCAACTCTAGAAGAGAAATGAGTACAGCTATGTGCTTTAATAGGCAAGACCCTAGGAAGTGGGGCGAAGGTATTTAGGATTGAGTGGAGTTGTGCCCTGGGACTCTGGGTTCAGAGTCCCTGTTACTAGCACAGTTTATAGTCCTGACTCATCTCTTTAGGAGGTCATTAGGGTGTTTCAGGATTGAAAATTTTGACACCTTGGTATACTGCCTGGATTCTTCCAACCAGTGATTCTCAATCAGGGAGGCTCAGCAGAATCATCTAAGGAGATTTCTCAAAATACCTATTCCTGAGTTCTCTCCGAGACCTACTGAACGGGGCCCCGGCCATGTGCATTTTGGAAAAAGCTTCCTAGATGAGGACAGGTGCTTCACATCCGTCCTTCCCAATGACTCATTTTGTTTTTGTTTTCTTCCCTGAGACATTTTCATTGTCATCTGTCCAAGTTTCCCTGTGCTGCTTTATTTTCCTATTTACGTAACAGAGGCTGAAATGAGGAAACCCAGGAGTGCCTGGGTGAGGTGAGGGGGTGGGTCTTACCACCCGAGGGACTTACTCAGATAAGAGTCTTTGAGATGCTTCTATTTCTTCTTGCAAAGCGCAGGCTGAAATGTTGGCCTGTCTCATAGCCCAGGTCTTCACCCTTACTTTCTACTTATAAAACCCCGGGGCCCTAATCTGTGACAGTGTGGATGCTGACAGGTCTGGATAGCTTAGTGAGGACACGGGCGTCCTGGGGCGATGAATATGAGCGGGAAGCACTTGCCCTTCTGAGTCTCGCTCCCCTCCCCCAGCGCTTCAGCATGGAAGGCATCTCCAACATCCTGCAGAGTGGCATCCGCCAGACTTTCGGCCCCTCGGGAAGTGACAAGCAGGTATGGCCCGTCTCTCTGCTCCCAGTTTCCTTCCTAGACTCTTGCCACTTGGTCTCTTCAACAGACTGGGGGATGGGGACGCACTAGGATTATCCTGGCATGGGGGCAGATTGGGTGGGTGGGAGGATGTCCTAACGATTTCTTCCATTGGAAGGAGAAGCAGAATGTGTCTTTTTAAAGGCAAATGGTTTTTTGAACTTTAGTATTAGAGGGCATGGTGAAAATGCAACACTCCTTGTAGAACTGTGAGTTCAGTTGCTTTCAGAACAAAAGGCGTTAAAGGAGATCCCGCTTCAGGAAAGATGCTCTCCAAGAGCTTAATTAGCTCTACCACACTGGGCTTCCCTGGTGGCTCAGCGGTAAAGAATCTGCCAGTAATGCAGGAGTCACAAGAGATCAAGAGATGCAGGTTCGATCCCTGTGTTGGGAAGATCCTCTGGAGGAGGAAATGGCAACCTAAACCAGTATTCTTGCTTGGGAAATCCCATGGACAGAGGATCCTGGCAGACTACCGACTGTAGGGTTGCACAGAGTTAGACACGACTGAAGCGACTTAGCAAGTACCCTGGGCTCCTAGCGGAGCCAGTCCCACCAAGACTGCCTCTTCAGCTGCCTTGCTGACTGTAACCCACACTGCGGGGTCTCCAGTTTGACTTCACTTAATCAATTACTTCCCTGAGAAATGCTTTGCATTTCTGACTGTCTGGTGCCTGCCATGTCTTGAGCTCTGTTGCTAGGCCCCCAGGTAGTACATAGATGAGTGAGTCCTGGTCCTGCCCTCTTGGAGTGCATAATCTAACAGAGAAAGTCGATGTGTCCAAAGACACTTTTGAGATCATGCACAAAATCTGTGTATGTTTGAGGCATGTTTGTGGCTGAATCCTAAGTGTTAGAATTCTGGAGCTGCAGACTGGGAAGAGATTTTTGTTGTTGTTGTTGAGTCGCTCAGTCATGTCTGGCTCTTTGTGACCCCATGCACTGCAGCATACCAGGCTTCCCTGTCCTTCACCATCTCCGGGAGCTCTCCCGGGAAGAGATTTTATGAACATGTAACTTGGTCCCCTGAGTTCACAGAGGTAGAACCAAGGCCTAGAGAGATTAGGCAATTTTCCCCCAGGCCACACTGCTAGTGGCAAGACCACGTCTAAAACACAAGACTCGTGGTTTTGAACTTTTCTCAATCGTGATGTCAGGCTCCCTCAGAACCTTCCAGGTCCCTCTGGCCAGTGTTTTGGGATAGCCCACTGGTCACTAAGATGATTTTGTTGTAGGAGCACCTCATCTCCACCAGAGGGAGCAAATCCAACATCCCAGACTCTGGGCGGAGTTGAGGTTTTCTCACTGGTCATTTTGACAAAAGAGAAAGCATTCATTCTCTAGTTGCACTGCAGAGGAGAAGAAAATATTATATGCCCATAGAATGTTCTCTGCTTTTAGCCTGGAGGACCAAAAGCTCACCAGTATTCCTATATAATCAAAAAGTTTCTAGTGTCAGAAGACTTTATTAGTTGGAGTGGAGGGACCCTTTTCCTGGCTAATATGATCAAGTCTTACTTTTGGTGAGAGGGAATTTTACTTTCTTTTTTATTTTTTTAAATTACAAAAGTATGGTAACATATTTACAGGAGACCTGAAAAATACAGAACAAAGTTACATTTAGTTCCACTATATATTATAATAATTTTTTTAAGTAGAAAAATTAAGATTTTTAGTTGGAGTTTCAATATCAAACTCTCAAAAATTAATAGAATAAATAGAAAAGTAGAAGGATATAGTAGACCTGAAAAGCACTATGAACCAATATATGGGGGTTATTTTCAAATATCTTTTGATATTGATTTCTAACATAATCCCATGATGATAGAATAGACTCTGTTGATTTCAATACCTTTAGACCATGGCATTTTTGCACTCTGCTTTATGTCCCTAGATATGTTCCAGTGTCTCCTGGTTCATAGTCTATGGGAACTCATAGAGAATTTGTATCCTACTGTTTTGTGAGAATTATATAAATCTTAATTGTGATAAAGTCTTCCTTTAAAAGAGGCATTTTCCAAAGATGGGGGAAAATCCTGAAGCAATGGTGTGCACATTGTCATGTGTGTTGTTGAGAACATAAAATTTGATGGAGTGCGTGTTTTTTAGAGAAAAACCCAGTTCCCATGCATGTTGTCAACCCATATCTCGGCCCCGGGAATGGGGCTTCTGTCTCACGTGCAGCACACCCTGTTTGTCTCCTAGTACCTGAACACAGTCATCCCTTATGAGAAGAAGGCCTCGCCCCCATCAGTGGAAGACCTCCAGATGCTGACTAACAGTGAGTTCCTCCCATTCTCAGCCAGATCAACTGCTCATTTCTGTCCCCCTTGCCCTGTGAGTTTTACCCTTGTTTCGGGCCTGAGGTTTCCCCAAGGCAGTTTCTTTTTTATTTTTATTACTATTATTATTATTTTTAATTGGAGGGTAATTGTTTTAAAATGTATTGGTTTCTACCATGCAATAATATGGATAACTCATAACTATATAAAACTATATATATATATATAACTCTGTGTGTGTGTATATATATATCTCCCTTCCTTCCTGAGTTTCCCTTCCACCCCCACCTTTAACTTTTTATTTTATATTGGAATGCAGTTGATTAACACTATTGTGTTAATTTCAGATATACAACAGAGTGATTCAGTTATACATGTACATGCATCTGTTCTTTTTCGAATTCTTTTCCTATTTAGGTTGTTACAGAATATTGAGCAGAGTTCCCTGTGCTATACAGTAGGACCTTGTTGGTTATCTATTTTAAATATTACAGTGCAGTTTCAATGGATCAAAATGTGCTCCACACCGTTGCATCATGTCCCCTACATGGGGCAGAATTAAAGAGCTCTTCAGTGATACTAGGAGCTGCCTTGTGTTTTCCTGGTTCCTGGAAGGGAAGAGACTTGCCAGAAAAAACGAGCTGATGGAGGAGGTTGAGCGGGGGACTTTCTGTGGTTCGCCCACAGATCTCAAGGCTGTGCGCTCTCCGCCTTGCCTGCAGTTTGAGGTTGCCTTGTGTTCCCAAAGCAGGGAGCTCCTTCTAACAGACTGACTGTATTTAATGAGAAGCAAGGTTTCTTGGGTGGGGTAAGGCTGATGGGAGAGAATAGAGTCTGGTTTTTCTCCCAGGCCATGACTCTATTGTCAAGTAATATTAACAAACATTCAGAGCTGTTGGAGAAACAGCCTGTGATAGAGAGCCTTTTTAGGCAAAATCTCTCGATATCCATCAGACACTACAACCCCCAAAGGGCTGGGGGCACAGGGTGTTAGCCATCAGTGTCAGCTTGATTTTTTAGGAAGAGAAAAATCCTAGGCTGAGAGGTGAGGAAGGGCTTGGTAAATCACAGGGCCATCCATCACCCTGGCAACTGTGCTCTGAATTGAGTAACACACTAGCCAGGATGCCTGCCGTTGCTGCGCTGCCTCAGAGGGAATGGGCTGCGGTAGGGCTATTTGATGCCTAAGGGGAGGGAAGGGGGGCTTCATCTATTTGGCTGAAGAAGGTAGATACCTCCTGGGCCCATTGCTTAAGGTGCCCAAAGATTTCATTTTTATCATTTTGGAGAACGAAAGAAGTTTCTGATAAGTGGTAATCTTGCCTCCATCAATAGAGAGGAGGATACCACGTCCTTGAGAACCTGGAAGTTTAAATTCAAAGTGCATCAGCTTCCTCTTAACTCATCTGAAGCTCTTTTATTTGCATAAATATGCACTAAGATTTTTTTTTTAATAGGAGCAGATAGAAACGAGCTGACATTTATAGGTGTTTGTGTTTTCACAAGCAGCAAGCATTTGGAAAATAATTTGGACAAATTATGAAGGTTGATATATGTAGAGCACTCTGTCATGCTGTTTTTTTAAAAAAATAAAGAGCTATAAATTTATTACAGATACCCATTCAGGAATTCAGCGTGAAATCCTTTCATTTTAATCAAGAAACAGTGGTTTGTGTACACTTTTCAAGTTCATTTAAAAAATCAGGGCTAGAGTATATCCATCATTTAGAATACTTTGGAAACATAGAAACGTGAATAAAGGAAAATAAATAGCTTCTTCCCCGCTTCACTGTGGTTACTATATGGTGTTTTTCAGGCATAGTATTTTATGTCTTTCCCACATAGTTGGATTACACAGGCTATTAAATTTCATATCATGATTTTAGTCACATCAGTTAACATTTGGTTAACATTCTTTTTATGGCTCTCTCTTCTGTCGTATAGACATACCACATTCCAATATTTTATTCCTTTAAAAAAAACCTGCCAACTTCCCCGAATACCAACTTTCCTGGATGTTATGAGAGGTCTCTTTTTTGGCACATCCGTGTATGGGTTTGTGAATACTTCTGAGTCAAGAACATAGGCCCAAGACCGGTTCTGGGGACTGGACAGTTCTTGTAAATTTTGGATTTGGGAGACCACCTTCATCACATGTTGGCTGGGCTGAGTGCAATTACTGTATTTTTATTGCTATCTTCTTGGTGGGCAGCATTTATTTTAGTCTTCGCATGCCCAGCTGCAACATATTTTCAGCCTGTTATGTTGAAATGAATCCATGTCTAAAAATACAGAGGAAATAAAACAAACCGTTGCCTGAATGGCCTGAGGTCTGGTCTTTTTCTGGACCTGGCCGTGGACTCATGCCATCGTCAGGCTCCGTTTCCTGCCCTCTCCTGAGTTTTGGAGTCAAGTGGGCTTCCCTGGTGGCTCAGATGGTAAAGAATCAGCCTTCGGTGCGGGAAACCTGGGTTCGATCCCTGGGTTGGAAAGATCCCCTGGAAAAGAGAGCAGCCACCCACTCCAGTATTCTGGCCTAGAAAATTCCGTGGATAGAGGAGCCTGGCAGGCTACAGTCCATGGGGTTGCAAAGAGTCAGATACGACCGAGCGACTTTCACTTTCCATGACCCTGATTTGCAACTTGTTAAAGATAATCAGTCTGGAGAAGGAAATGGCAACCCACTCCAGTATTCTTGCCTGGAAAATCCCATGGACGGAGGAGCCTGGTAGGCTATAGTCAGTCTGTGGGGTCGCAAAGAGTTGGACACGACTGAGCGACTTCATTCACTTTCACTTTCAAGATAATCAATGGAGAACAGGACCTGGGAATGGACTGGGGAGTCCCTCCATTGTCAAGTTGCCTCCTGACCTCAGCCGTCAGGGCCAGTTGATTGTCAGTGTTTTCTTCACTTGCAAAAAGTAATACATGTACACACTGCTATATTTAAAATGGATAACTAACAAGGACCTACTGTACAGCCCAAGGAACTCTGCTCAATGTTTTGTGGCAGCCTGAATGGGAGGGGAGTTTGGGGAAGAATGGATACATGTATATAAATGGCTGAGTCCCTTCACTGTCCATCTGAAACTATCCATCTGAAACTATCACATTACATTGATAACTGGCTATACTCCAGTATAAAATAAAAAATTTAAAAAATGAAATTAAGTGCAAAGATTATTGTATCCAGTGGAAAAGAAACAGTAATACATGCTCATGGAAAAAATCTGGCCATTATAGAGATATGATGCCAAAGAGAACATCACCTGGGGCCTCATGCTCAGAGGTAACTGCTTTTTAGTTTTATGCACATTCTTCCAGATTTTTTTCTATGAATATTAACATTTATTATTTACTCTTTTAAAATTAATATATTAAGTTCCACAGCTTCCTTTCTTCATTGATAAGTGTGTCTTGTATACATACTCATCTATCTTTTTTTATGAAACTGTTTGAGATGGCATAGATAGCATATACCAGAGTTTACTTAAGACATCTATTGATGATGAGATGTCTTGTTGGATGTTCCCTTCCCTTCACTCATTTTTTGATAGTATAAACAAGGTCCAGATATTAATATTTTTTGAAGGATTTTTTTTACAGAGCTAACTTCTGCATCATGAATAATGAATATGAGAAGGTACTTCTTAGTTTAATAACAGAAAAATCTGTTCTACAAAAAACCTTAAGTTTTAATCACTTTTCTATTGTTTGCTTCATATGTAGTTCATATCCCTTTTCAACAAAAAGTCTGTAAGCTCCTTTAAGGTCATCAATACTTTTGCATTTCCACAAATTCTAGCACTGTACTGAGCATAAAGTAGAAGATATTTGTTGAATTAAATTCATTTGCTCTTAATAAACTGGAGGTGAGAACTTTTCTAATAATATCTGTATGAGTAGGATGTCTTTAAAGACAGATTCATCAGAATTTCAGCAGTGTGACAGCTGTTATTCTTAACATTTGGATTGCATCTGAAAGTTGATTCCTTTTTTCAATTGCTTTCTTTATTTTTATGATCATTAAAGACACATAATTCATAGGTGATGGGGAAATTACAGATGAGCACATGCATACAAAAAGGAAAGACTAAAAGAGAAAAAAGAAGAGGACGTCAGTTCATCAGTAGGGCTACCCTGATTCTTTTGATGTCTTCTCCTTCACCAGCAGGTGAACGCTGGTTCTTGACAGAGGCGTCTAGACTTTGCTCAACACTCAGCGAGTGTCTGATTTCCTTGACTGCTCTCTCACTGTCTTTGGGTTGGTGGATCGTCTGGCCCAGAAGTGAGCTCTGCGCCCGGATTCATCTTGACTCTTCTCTCTCTCCTCCCTCCAGTTCTCTTTGCCATGAAGGAGGATAATGAGAAGGTTCCCACTTTGCTGACGGACTATATCTTAAAAGGTAAGAGCAGCCCGGATCTACATGTTAAAAGGTAAGAGCAGCCCGGGTCTACATGTTAAAAGGTAAGCGCAGCCCGGATCTACATGTTAAAAGGTAAGAGCAGCCCGGGTCTCCGGGAGCAGAAGTGACCCCCGGTCCCCTTCCCCAGGACGCTTGCTGGCTGGACGCTCAGAGCCCACACTGTGGGCCTCCCAGAGCCTCCACACCGGGCCAGACCAGGCAGGGCCCGGGAGCTCCGTGGACAACTGTGAGCGGGCCCTTGCCTTCGGATGTTGCTAGGAGGCCTGAGGAGGACATTCCATCACCCCCGAGTCACCAGAGCGACTCCACACGAACAGCAGCCAAACCAGTACAAAAAGCTTATTTGTTAAAGTTCTGTGGAGCTTGGGCTGTTTACTTGGCAAAAACAAAGCCTCAGGATACCTTTAACAGTTTCGACTCCTTGAAAGGCAGCAAACTAGGGACATGATTAGCTACATCCTTTTACAGCTTTTTCTTGTTTCATCTTTCATTATGGGTCATAATTTTTGGTTTCATCTTTCATTTAACATATGAAAAAGTAGAGCAAATGGTGTAGTGCAGTGGTACCCAGTGGTTTTGGCACCAGGGACCAGTTTTGTGGAGGACAGTTTTTCCAGGGGGAGGGGAAGGGGATGGTGTGGGGATGATTCAGGCGCATTACATTTATTGTACACATTATCTTTATTACTGTTACATCAGCTCCACCTCAGATCATCAGGCATTAGATCTTGGAGGCTGGAGACACCTGGATAGTGAACCGTCACATGCTTAGCATTTGGCTTTAACAATTATTAGTTCCTGGCCAATTTGGTTTCATTTATAACCGTACCTAGCTTCTCCCCTCCATATTATTTTGAAGCAAATACCAACTATTATATCTTTTTTCATCCATAAGTGTTTCAGTATGCATTTCTAAAACATAATCATGAGATCATGGTCACAACTAGAAAAATAAAACATTTTATAGTATCTTTGAGGGACTTCCCTGGTGGTTCAGTGGTTAAGACTCCACACTTCCGCTGCAGGGGGCAAGAGTTCAATCTCTGGTTGGGGAACGAAGATACCTCATGCAATGCGCATTGCCCCCCTCCCCACCCCTGCAGTCCCCAAGTATCTTTGACTCTTCAATCAGTGTTCAGATGTCCCTGTAAAATTTTTTCAGTTTATTTCTTTGAATTAGGATCCAAAGAAGTTCCATACATTACAATTTCATAATGTTTCTCTTAAATCTCTTCATTTTATTTATTTGACTGCACCGCGTTTTAGTTGCCGAATGTGGAATCTTTAGTTCCTGCATGTGGGGTCTAGTTCCCTGACCAGGGATGGAACCTGGGCCCCCTGCATTGGGAGTGCAGAGCCTTAGCCACTGGGCCACCAAGGATGTCTTTTAATTCTCTATTAATATATATACAGTTTCCCCTTTCCTTCATCGCTCACATTCTTTGAATTTTATGTCATAAAGAAACCAAGTGATTTGATCCATAGAATTTCCTTATTCCAGCTTTTACTTGGTAGTTTCACCCTCATGGTTTCATTTAATGTTCTTCTACCCTTTGCATTTCCTGTTGTCCAGTGGAGCCAGAGGGCTGAACACATTCAGAGCATCCACACCAGACCAGCCCGGGCAGGGCCAGAGGACTCAGCACCCTCACATCCACAGTTTGTTGGAAAGCATTAGTGTATCAGTGGTTGGGAACTTCCATTAAGAAACACCTACCATCCGGTTGTCTTTCTTTGGGGGGATGTTAATATCTATATTAGTATGCTCAGCCTGATAAAACAGAATACCACTGGGTGGCTTAAACATCAGAAATTAATTTTCTCACAGTTCTGGAGAGTTGAAGTCCATGATCAAGGGGCCAGTAAATTGGGTTTATAGTGAGGGCTATCTTCTCAGCTTGCAAGCAGCTACCTTCTTGCTATGTCCTCACATGGCCTTTCTTCTGTGATGAGAGAGTGCCAGAGCCTCTGTGCTGCTTCTTACAAGGACACTAATCCTAGCAGATCAGCACCCCACCCACATGACCTCATTTTAACCCTTCTTTCTCAGAGGCTCATCTCCAAGTATAGCTGAGGGTTAGGGCTTCACCGTGAATTCTTGGGTAGGGGGCACAAACATCAGCCCTGTAACACTCTCCACTGATGGTCATTCATGGTCCAGATCCTTTTTCTGATTAGATTTTGCTCCATAGGCACAGACAACCTTGGGTGCAGTTTCTGAAGTCTTGTGGACCTCAGTTTAGAACCTCTGAGCTGTACTGTTCTGTAAGGATCAGAAAGATGAATCTTAAATTTTGGCAGGATGAATTTAGGCTCAACAGAGTTTCCCTGGTGGCTCAGAGGTTAAAGCATCTGCCTGCAATGTGGGAGACCCGAGTTCGATACCTGGGTCGGAAAGATCCCCTGGAGAAGGAAATGACAACCCACTCCAGTATACTTGCCATGGACGGAGGAGCCTGGTGGGCTACAGTCCACGGGGTTGCAAAGAGTCAGACACGACTGAGCTACTTCACTTTCTTTTCTTTCTTTCTGAGTCTTAAAAGGTTTTAAAAGAGCATCCCATTTCTCTAAGGAGGTTTGTGGAAATGGGTTCTATAAGTCTGGGAGCCCAAAGGCTAGACTTTACCTCTCACGATCCGCTGAAATGTCAGTGAATGTATAAAACTAGTTAACATTTGTGAGCACTTTCTGTTTGCCTCTGAGCAACCCTGTGGGCTGGGCAGAGGCAGAGGCCACTGTATACAAGAAGTAAAACAGACACAGGTGCTAGAAGTTATTTCCCGAAGGTCGTAGTTAATAACAGCCAGTCCCAGGATTCAAACCAATGCGGTTGGACAGCAGAGAAGACCCACTTCATCAGTACACTGAACCACCACCTACCAGTGGCTTGTTCTCCTTCTGGAAGGAAGACACGTGATTGCCATCCTTCCCTGGTTCTAAGGGGGCGGGTGGTTCTCTGCTCAGGACACTGGCGAGAGGTCAGGGCCACCCTGGGCTGGGAGGTCCGGCCCCACACTTGCTCTGACGAGCCCTCTCTCTTCTCTTTCCAGTGCTCTGTCCCACCTAACCTTGCCCTCGGGGGCAGCCTTGCTGCGGAGGTCACTGAGCAAGCGTCATCCCACCGCAGGGACTGCATGACACCACGTAGCCTCCGCCGTGTATTTAAACGTGTATAGCTTAACCTGGATTAAACATGAGCAAATGCGCGGGGTCCTTTGCTGTTGGCTTCTAGTCCTAGTAACCATTGGATGCATGACCGTCGGGCAGGGCTGGTGATGTCGCCTCTTCTCCAGCCGTGTCGGAGGGAGGCAGATGCTGTCACCGCTCATGATGTAGTCTGGCTCCAGCCCTCAAAAACAGCTTCCACCCTAAGACTAATTTTGAAATAAACCTTCATTTAATTAGTATGCTTCATGTGCTTTGGCGTGTGGTATCCCTCGGCGCTCTGGTGCAAACCTCCAGAGAAAGGACCTGTCGCTGCCTCCATGCGAGGCTTCTGGCCCACGGCAGCAGTGGGGTGTTAGGGGATGGGGTGGTACCTCTTGTGCGCTTTGGTGGGTCGTGGTGGGGCTGCCATTGTCCAGACAGGAAGGAGGCTGTCCACAGACTCAAGAGGGAGGCCCACAAGGTGCTATGCGAAGTACTGGTTGGGGAGGAGACTGGGAAGTTAGCAGATGGAGAGTGAGGCTTAGCGGGAAGCTGGGCGGCTCTGATGCCTCCTGTTGGGATGACCGGGTGGACACCCCGAGATCTGAGGGCTGGAGGGCTTGAGCTCTGCTGGCTCTCTTGGGGCGGGGGGCTGCGGCTGCCTTCCTGACCGCCCCTTCTGACCCCTGGTGTCCTCTGGCTATGCTTTGGCGTGTGGTATCCCTCGGCGCTCTGGTGCAAACCTCCAGAGAAAGGACCTGTCGCTGCCTCCATGCGAGGCTTCTGGCCCACGGCAGCGGTGGGGTGTTAGGGGATGGGGTGGTACCTCTTGTGCGCTTTGGTGGGTCGTGGTGGGGCTGCCATTGTCCAGACAGGGAGGAGGCTGTCCACAGACTCCTAAGAGGGAGCCCCACAAGGTGCTATGCGAAGTACTGGTTGGGGAGGAGACTGGGAAGCTAGCAGATGGAGAGTGAGGCTTAGCGGGAAGCTGGGCGGCTCTGATGCCTCCTGTTGGGATGGCCGGGTGGTCACCCCGAGGTCTGAGGGCTGGAGGGCTTGAGCTCTGCTGGCTCTCTTGGGGCGGGGGGCTGCGGCTGCCTTCCTGACCGCCCCTTCTGACCCCTGGTGTCCTCTCGCTGTCTGTGTCCTCCCCACCTCCCCGCGGCCCTTGCCTCCCACATGCTGTCCCTGGCATCGGTGACAGGCAGCTGCCAGCCGCGACCGGCCGGCAGGTGAAAGCTGTCCTTGTGTCTGGAAGGGGCTCCGCTTCGGCACAACGTGAACTGCCTCAGCTTCCATCTTCTGGTTTGAATGGTACTAATTCTGGTGGATTCCCCAGTCCCATCTTTTAAAAAAAAAAATCCTTTTTTATTGTGGTAAAGTCGTGTCATATAAAACCTACTATTTTAACCATATTGAACTCAATATGTTGTTGTGTGGCTCTTACCACCATCGTCCAACTCTCCAGTGTTTTCACTTTCCTAAACTGAAATTGTCCCCATTAAACACAACTCCTCATTCCCCTTCCTCCTTCCCAACTCCTGCCCCCTGGCTTCTACCCGTGTATTTTCTGACTCCATGAATTTGACTATTCAAGGTACCTGGTATAAGTGGAATCAAACAGCCTTTGCACCTAATATATATTGGAATGCATTTTGAAGGTTAACTTCATATATGTCCTACAAACAGGACTTTTACCCCCACCCTGTGCTATACAGTAGGTCCTTATCAGCCATCCGCTTCATACATAGCAGTGTATATATGTCAATCCTAACCTCCTAGTCCTTCCCAACCCTTCTCCCCCGTTGGTGTCCATCCATTGGTTCTCTACATCTGCGTCTCCATTTCTGCTTTGCAATGAATAGGTTCATCTGCACCATTTTCCCTAGATTCCACATGTATGCATTAATGTAAGATATTTGTTTTTCTGTTTCTGACTTCTCTCTGTATGACAATCCCTAGGTCCATCCACCTCTCTGCAAATTGCACAGTTTCATTTCTGTCTTTAAAAACTTTTCTCAAGTACTTGCTATGTACCTGCCAGTGGCATAATCACCTTGACAAATTATCTTGCATCTCAACATTGACGGGTGAGGAGACCAAGAAGCAGAGACGCTCAAAGTGGTGGAGTCAGCTTGGTACCTCGGCCTCTTATGTACCTAGATCTCCACCCCTCCTTAGGAGTTTGGCGTTTGTATGCCACACGGAAAGCTGTGCTTCATCACACGGGCATCTCCATAGAAGGTGACAGATGGATGCAGGTGACAATAGAAGGCATCCTTGGTTCTCTGTCTCTCACTCCCTGGGGCTCAGCTTTTCTAGGAGCTCTGCTACAGAGCAGTAGCAGTCTCCCCTAGGGGTGAGGGGGGACCCGCCGGGGAAACCGCCCCACTGCCGGCAGCTCTCCAGCTCAGGCATCCACACAGAGCAGGGCTTCCACGTGGACAGCGCCCTGGCCACTACGGGAAAATGGAAACAGCATGAGGTAGCTGTACAGATGCTCAGGCTCAGCACGTGGGCCTAAGTACCGGAGCTCTGACAAAAGGGACACCTGCGGCTCTGCATTCCCTGGTGCCATGGTCATGGGGCAAAGGGCCATGGGCAGGGTGAGGTCCTTAGCACAGTGCATGCTTGGCCAGCTCTTGGGGAGCAGTGAATTCCCCCGGAGCCTGCCTTCCTGCCTCGGATTTGTCATATCTGGGTCAGCCACTCCTTTCCCCCAATTTATCCTGCCAGCAGGTGTCTGAGGCAGCAGTGACAAGCTAATCAAAGCTGCTGGCAGTTAAAAATAAATCTCAAGTGTCAAGGAGATGCTCCATCTCCGAGGAGGTGAGTCTAGGAGTAGGGGTGGGAGCAGTGACTGCCATTTCTTGCCTGTGGTCCACATCAGGAGCTGAGCGGGAAGGTAGATCCACGGCCTCTGGTTTTGCATCGCTCTTTCCTCTGTCCTTGCTCCTCAACACATGGGGCCCAGCCCAGCAGCAGAGACAATGTCTAGGAATTTATTACAAATGTAAAGAACTCAGATCCCAATCCCCCACCCACCCATCCTCTACCCCCGTCAGAAGCTGCAGGTTTTTTCCTTTTCACCATGCCAGGAGGCACGTGGGGTCTTAGTTTCCCTGACCAGGGATCAAACCCGTCCCCTCAGCCATGGAAGCCTGGAGTCTTAACCCCTGGACTGCCAGGAAAGTCCCTGGAAGCTGCATTTTAGTGCGATTTCCAGGCAGTTGGTGTTTGTGTTAAGTTCAGAGACACTTTCAGAGTTGCTGGAACCCTGACTCTCAAAGACTGAACCCGGAAAGCGTGAACAGTGTGATGAACACGTGACTGCACATGCGACCACTTCTCCTCTCCTCATCTTTCAGGAGTCGTCCCAGGGCAGATGATTCTTCAGGCCCCAGTCAGTTTGGATGGCAAAACTCAAGTCCACCCAGGGTGTTCACCCTCAGCCAGGGCACTGGGGAGCCAAGTCCTGCAGAGTGCCCTCCTGGCAGGTAGGACTTGGTCTGGCCAGCGGGCTCCTTTACCGACGCTTGTCTCCATCAACTAAAGGTCTCCATGTGGGTTTGCGAAGCCTAATCTGATCCAGCCTTCTTGAGGAAATGTCCCTGTGGGGCCTGACACCAACCTTCAATTGTGTAGAGTTGAAACAAATGATCCTGTGAAAGTGAAAGTTGCTCAGTTGTGTCCAACGTTTTGCGACCCCATGGACTATACAGTCCGTGGAATTCTCCAGGCTAGAATACTGGACTGGGTAGCCTTTCCCTTCTCCAGAGGATCTTGCAAAGCCAGGGACCGAACCTAGGTCTCCTGCATTGCAGGTGGATTCTTTACCAGCTGAGCCACAGTGACCCTGTGGGGACAAGCTATTGTCCACATGGACTGTCCACACACTCCCTCATCTTGTGCCTCTGCTTCAGTGTGGGAGACAGATGGGGTATCTCAGAAAGAAAACCCAAAGGGAAGGGTGTTGGGGCAATATGTTTTGTGGGACAAATTGGATTTTTTAAATGAAATAAACCTTTTGCCTATGCACTGGAGTATTATCTGGACTAGAACTGTCTTCACTTAGAGATCAGGCAAGAGATGTGAAAAATCCAAGAAGGTGAGCTCCTCTGGATGTCTTAAGATGAATGATGAGCCAAGTCCCTATGGATGTGATGAGTCTGTTCTGTGACCTTTGAGTACCACTGTGTCCTAGGGACTCCTCCCATGGCCCCGTTATGCAGAGCACTTCATCTCACCAAAGGCCAGGAGCAGGGGCCACCGGGGCCCACCCCTCTTCAGCAGAAGCCTGAATTGGAAGATGGGGGGCCTCATCTCTAAGAGAGCCAGGAGAGGTGACTCTCACCAGGGCCAGCCTCCACGATTAGTATGCGTGGAGGGGAGAGTAATTAGATGCTGCTCTTGGAGAAGATACACTCGCATTCTTGTTGGGGCCTGATTATTTATTTTCTTGGGAGGAATCTCCCCTTCCCTCCCTCTCTCTCCTTCCTCTATCCTGAGTCCCCGTCTTGGTTCTCTCTTCACTCTCCAACTGCCAGAGAACAGGAAAATGAATCACAGAACCAGAGAGGGGAGTCAGTGAAAGGCCAGCGGTCTGTCCTCCAGTCCCATGTATTTCCACTTCTCTCTCCCCTCCTCCTTGAACAGAACCATTTTGTTTTTCAGATTAGAGCATTCCCGACCTGACCATGTTGGGGTCCCCAGGCCTGCCCTCTGCTCTCAGCAGCCTCCCCCACTTCGTCTAGGCTCCATGCTCCATTCTCTCTCCCAGAGACAAGCTCCCGTCTCTTTGTCCTTCTTCCATCTTTCAACCTGGCTTTATTCTCAGTGCGTGCATGCTCAGCCCCTCGGTTGTGTCTGACTCTTTGCAGTGCCATGGACTCTAGCCCACCAGGCTCCTCTGTCCATGGGATTTCCCAAGCAAAAATACTGGGCTGGGTTGCCATTTCCTCCTTCAGGGGATCTTCTAGATTCAGGGATCGTACCTGGGTCTCCTGCATTGCAGGTGGATTCTTGACTGATGAGCCAGCAGGGAAGCCCTCGGTATTCCAGCCTAAAAACCCAGGAGTCTGACCTTGCCCTCAAAACAGGACGGGGGCGGGAGGAGGGCATCATCTACAGAGGCCAGAAGTGAGGGAGGGAGGTCTGCAGTCATCACTCAGATCACTGATCTCACACATCCATCTCTACTAGAAAAGTGTGCAGAGAAACTTCTTAAGGGTTTATGTCCTGCCCCTCCTCCCAAATGTAAATGGT